GGGACTCGATCCAGGGACTCCAGGATCATGACCTGAGCCGAAGGCAGTCGCTTAACCAACTGAGCCACCCAGGCGCCCCTGATTAACAACATTTTAGAAACTTAACCCATATACACTATTTTTAATGTCTAAGAACAAGAGCGCATAATGCAATTTTAATAAGTACAAAAATGAGATTCAGAAGTATCCCCATAAAAATGTCTTAGGATAACACTGATAGACACAAAGAATAGATAAGTGACTCACGGGGCAATAACCAAAAATGGAGAAGAGAGTGAGAAAACCAATTAGTGAGTTATTCAGTTTCTTCATAACTATGTTAATTGTTTACCACTTCAGATATCATTACTCATATTATTAGATGGTATGTAGGGGGCAGAAAGAGGAGACTAAGTTCAAACCACACAGCACTTCTGGTAGTTGGAGAATAAAGTTCAAAATAATTGGTGTTCTAATTCACAAATTTTAATAAATCCCATTGCTTACTCCTCCAACCCCCTCACCACCAAAAACTAATTCTCGACTAAAAGAGCACTGACTAAATAAGCAAGAAATTTAATCAAACCAGCATCCTCCATAAATAAAACACTAAGCTCAAGGAAGGTTAACAGATAGAAAATAAATATTTAAATTAAAATAAAGAAATAAATATTTAGAATATTTAGAATATCAGAGTAAAGAAAAAATAAAATAAATATTTAAATTAAAATAAAGACTAAAAATTCTAACTACATTAATAAGATCATAAATGTAGCTATATATTTATAACTATAAAACTGTACATGTGCATCAAAAACAAAAAATACATAAAGGAATCTTATTCACAATGTATAGATTATTTGAAGATTTAGGCAAAATATAGAAGATAAAGAAAAAATAATTCTTTATCTTAAATGCTCTTCCATGAATAATATGAACCCAGATTACCTACACAAAATAAGTAAAGAAGATTCTGCGCTTGACAGTGTCCTGAATAATTTGGTAAGTAGGAATTCAAAATAAAAATAAAATAAACAAATGTATGAAGGGCCAAATAGTTTACCTAAAAGCACAAAGAAAGGAGAAAGAAATATTAAGAATACTCTATAACATACTTTGTTTCATTCAATAGTTTCAAGTACATAGTATCACCGATTGAAAATATCAGAGGATTTCAACTTTATATTTTTCCAAGAAAAAAATAAAGACAAAGAACATAAGTGCCTAACAGATTTGGCTTTGCAAAGGCTTCTAAGAGGGTGATGATGGATTTAGGGCTTTAAAGAATAAACTCACCGGGGATACAGAAAGCTGGCTAATATACTGAAGAGCAGGATAAATATAAGAGAAGGGTAAATCTAATCCAAATAATCCCTTGTGCTTTAAGGTCTTATAAGAAAGGAATCATGTAATTTCAAGAGAATAATGGAAATAGCAGTACTTGATTATAATTGCCTTCCATGAACACATTATGAGGTCAAGTAGATAGCCCCTCAGAAGACTTAAAATGACATTTCCCAACACTGAGGAGGAGACAAACATCAAAAAAAACTCTCAAAGCCTAAGTGTCCAGTTTGACTTTATTAGGTGATTAAAAAAATTAGTTTACATAATTTTGATTAGTCTCTACTTTTGGTCAAATATTAATTTAGTGGAACTGTCCTCTTCAAAGTGATTCAAATTTACTATGTCCACAGGAAACCCCACCCGTGTAGCTCAGGTCAATGCAATCTTCCCACGTTGCACATGGCAAGAAATTGGAGATTTCAAACAAAAGCTATCTAAGGGGGCAGATTCCAAAGAATGACAAAAAAGGAAATGGCAAATGCCCCTACTTTTTTTCCACTGTGGCTCAGTGAGCTAGCATCAGTCTGACTTCCATTGAGGAGCACATGTGAAGCAGCAATGCCTACAAATGAGAAGCTAATGTTCCAGGAGGAAGTCGCTTTGTTCCCTTAAATGCATCGGATAATCATCCAATGATCTGTCGCTCACATGTGTAAATCTCTAGGTGCTTTGGTGACTTATACCTACTTCACACACGTTACACTAAATATTTAAAATATTTTAAAATAGATATTTATTCTTTGTAAAAATCTGTTTACAAAAACACAATTTGACCTTAACGTTAGACATGTTATTTTCTCTTAAAGACACGTCTCCAGATTGGTTCTAGTTACCCCCTTCCGCTTAACTGATTGGGCAGTTTGCTCTATAACATAAAGTATATTTCAAGACACCGAGCACTATGACAAGCTGCAAATAAAGTCCAGGTTTCACAGCAGAGAAACACAGAGAAAAACAAAGAGCCATAGGCAGCGAAGCCTAAATAGAAATAGTGAAGATCAAAACTATTAGCAAATATGCACAAAATCTGCTATACCTATTTATGGTATTTCCTACCTGGTTCGTACTTGCAGATGTAATTGTGCTTCATGTTGCACCTGTCATCGTTCCACTGGTAAAGGTAGGGACCCCCAAGGCCTGGGTTGGCTGTTGGTTGATGATACATCACAACACACTTTTCACTTCCGCAGGAAGGTTCATCGGTATACCAGTTTCTGTAAACAGAGCAACAGGAACACCTCCAAGTGATTTCACCCATTCTATTCTTTTTGTTTTGCTTTTTGTTTCAAGGTTTTATTTAAATTACAGCTAGTGAACATAGAGTGTAAAACCAGTTTCAGGAGTAGAATTTAGTGATTCATCCCTACCATATAACACCCAGTGCTCATGACAAGTGCCCTCCTTATTCCCCATCACCCACTTGGCCTCTTCAATTCTGACATCCTCTACAGGTGAACAGAAATCTCCCTTCTCCATTTTGAGCACCCCAGAGAACATCCAAGTCTGCAGGATCCCTACTCACCGGTACTGGGAACCACTTCCATCAGACCACTGGTAGAGATCTGGGCAAGCACCAGATGTTTGCCCCTCTCCGTTTCGCCAAAGCCCTATCCAGAAATCACCATCAGAAATCCCCGTTCCTGGTTTTGTCAGGTTTTGCAACATGCTTTCTATTAGCTTCTGTTCTGCTTCATTCTCCAGGCTGAGAAGGGCTCCCCCCTCGCTCTCACAAGCCAGGCGTGCCTCCTGGAAGCTCACTCGGCTGGACAGTTCATGGAAGTAGGCCATTTTGTAGCAGGGATGCTTGAGGTCAGCGAAACACACCTTTTGGCCTGAAAAAAAGATGCTATGCATTGATTATCTGAACCATATTCATAACGCTACTATGAATTAAGATTAAAGAACCAGGACGCCTGGGTGGCTCAGTCGTTAAGCATCTGCCTTCGGCTCAGGTCATGATCCCAGGGTCCTGGGATCGAGCCCCACATCAGGCTCCCTGCTCCTTGGGAAGCCTGCTTCTCCCTCTCCCACTCCCCCTGCTTGTGTTCCCTCTCT